AGAGAGAGAGAGAGAGAGAGAGAAGAGAGAGTTTTAGCCAGTCGCGCTGCGCACCGCTCGTCATGTTTAATTCGTGCTTTTTTTCCCCTCCCTCTCCTCGCTGACGGTAACCACGGTTCCACAACGGAATTACGCGAGCGCGCGCACGTACATACAACCAAAGGAAACGGTCGTCACCGTAACACCTGCCCGTACGATCGCCCACAGGGGCACGTATATATGTAGCACTCCTCCGGTCGCGACGACACGTCGTCGCGTCGCTAACCCGCGCGCGCGAACGCTTTGGACTCCGAGCGTTACCATCGAAATCGTTCACCCGGTACGTACACCCTGATCAGCTCTCCCATGCACGACCGCGTCTTTGCATCCCGCTACCGTACATTCCCGGGGCTTTCCGCGAGAGTGGGATTTTACGGGTGAAATAAATTCCGCTCTTCTCCGCGCGCGCGAAGAAAAGCTCCCCCGTGCGCGAGCCCGCCGCCGCCGTCGCCGCGCCGCTCGGCTGAACTTCGAGACTGAATTTCCGGGCCGGGAGAGCGCAAGCGGGTGGATCCCCGCGAAGGATTCGGGATGATGCGGGATTGCTATCATAAGAATACGCATTTACCGTTATTTGTTCGATGTATCTCGTGAACTCTGCAGTCGGACCGGATAAACGTCGGATCGACTCACGGAGTTGATCGTTAGATGTTACCTTACAATATTGAACGTTTGCTTCCCGCTCGGTTACCAGGCAGTGAAAACACAAGTAGCATTTCTTCGAGCTACATTCAACATTGAACGCGGCCCAAACGGGCTTTTTCTTTAACCGAAATATATATACCGAAATATTACTGTATATACGTACGCGATCGTCGTACATGAAAAGAAATGATTCTCAAAATCAGGCAATTACGATTATTAAAATTCAATCGAAATGAAAACCAATAATATATTCATGTGTATAACATTAATTAGACTTAATGTAAAAATGTTAACGATCCTAAAAAAAAATCAGCATCATGCTTGTAATAGACAGTTTAACATCTCTTTATATACTAAGGAATATTTTAATTTTTTAGTAGTCTTCATTTTTTAGATACTGAGAACTAAAATCAATTATCTGTTAAAATCAGCAAACGAAATATATAGTAATTGACATACTATTTAAGTGAGTGGCGTTTAATACTCATGTTGCACTTAAAACCGATATTCAGTTGCCAATCACTTAGATATAGTATAGATTCATTACTGCACGTCGCGACGTATTGGAAAGGTGAATGATTATAGCGAAAGCATCATATTTTTGCATGTGAGTCTGGCAAAGTTGAAAAATTGACAATCATTTCCGGCGGATGAAGTGCAACACCGCGGCTTACGTGAATCGTGTCGACCTAATGAATTCAGCAAACGGTAAAAGCATCGGCAAACTGGGTCGAAGACGAGTTCATCAAAATGCTATTGGTCTGATACGGTTCACCAGTCGCTGTGACACAAACTACCGCCTCAACTTTTGGAAAGGCAGTATACACACGGCGGTATATATACCCGTGGTGGATCGTAGTCGATTCATTACCGAATTTGGTGGGGAAAAGCGAGTCCCTCGTCTGTCTCTCTTTCCCTCTCTGTGCACGGCACATTAGACGCATCGCTGCAGCTTGGCGGAAGTTAGCCTGCTGACCCGCGCGCATCTGATTCGTTCCCAGGAGTGTATCAGAGATAGTTCTTCTTCTTCTTCTTCTTCTTCTTTTCCGTTCATATTTGTGCGAGCAATTTACATTTGCGTCATACGCGAGTTTTGCAAGAGTCTATAGAACTGCCGGATGGAATAAAATGGACTGTCGAAAAGGTGCCGAGAAAGACAAATTTCAGTTTTCGAAAATCATTTGCCAAATTCGATTATGGTTGCAAACCGCTTTTATCGAAAGCAGTCCTCTTCTCGAGGATTAATTTCCTTAAAATTAATCTTTCGCTTGTACAACAGATTACACGAATCAGGATGCACGTGACTTTGTGAACGTGTACCCGAAACGTAACCGAATCTAGTTTACTTTTAGTGCAATACTCCGGATATTACTGCGATCCTCGCGGATGTTGCGTGTTTCTTTTAAAGGTAAAACTTGGTTTGATACAAATTATACGCGCATTGTTTCGGAAGTATGCCTAAATTTCATTCGGATCACGTCCAACTTCTGTAATGACTGCGAGTGGATGGCAAAGATGGAGTGGCGGCAGGACATTTCGGGGTAAGCAAAGTTGCCAATGCGAGATCCTAACAGAATTTTCGAGATTATCCCGCTTGGTATATTTACGAGATTATCCCGCGTAACCTAATTTCTCGTTTCCTCTTCCCCCCTCCATCCCGGGCTTTCTCCTAATAGCCGACAACTTTTAAGAAAGTTCTCATTAAAACTTCATTCCATTATAAGGATTAGTTAATTTGAAAGGTATAAACCATAATGTTATTAGCGAATAAAATCAATAATTTGTAAATTAAGTTATTATAAGGGATTATTATAAGGGTTTGTAGAGGATTATCTATATGTGCATATATATTATACATATACACGATGGATAAGGTAATTATTTTATTAATTAACCAGTAATTGAATTGGATGGTAAATACTTAAGAAATAATATAATATTATAATATGTTTTAATCTAATAGACGAGAAGGAGAACGATCAGGTTATATTTCAAATTCTAAAATGTGATCATAATTTATTATTATAATCATAAAACGAGATCATAAATCAACCTGTATGAATAATTCAATACGAATAATGTTGCACTGTCTATAACTGAGGACTGTAACTGATGATGTCTGTAAAATATAATTACGATAGCGAGCGTTTTCTTTCTCATTCTTTCTGTTAGAGAATAGCTCTTTCAAGAATTCTTAAAAAAAAAATCTTCAAAAACAAAAACAAAATTAATCAAAATTAAATCATAATATAATCTTATAATCATAATGTAATCACAATATAACCTTTACTAATTTTCTTAAAGTGCTTGAAGAAACGTGTAAAAAATAAAGAGGAAATAAAGTTCAATTATATTTATATATATTTTTTGTAATTTAGGGTATATTAGGCTATGTATTAGAGACTCTCTTCTCTGAGCATAACTTATAAATTATTATTGATATAAATTTGGCATTTAAATTATTAGACATATATTAACGCTTTCTCATAGTACAATTTTTTTATAGCGATACCCATGCACGCGAATTTTCAAACCCGTTAGCCGTTAGTAAATTACCCAAGCTTCACATTAACGCTTATATAAGTTAGTGTTTGAGCGATAAATACAACGGATAATTAGTTAATGCGTGTATTGTCAGTGTAGCATCAATTTAGAAAAGTCAGTGCCCAATTTGCGGCAGGCGTCTACCTTATTTAAATCAGCCTCGCCGGAACCGGAACCGTCGAATAAACTGACATCATAATCACCAGAAGTGAGCTCATCATCATCTGCTGGAAACTATAAAAATACGTGGCATTAATAAATGAGTGCTGGCAAATTATCGATTCGAACGATATTCTTCGACGTAACGGGCGCAATATTGCTTGCTAAAAACATTTATATAATGCAGAAATCCATTAAGAGCTTGCTTAAGTTTTGTTTTAATAAATCAAGGTGAAAAATGAGATTAAGGTGTCGCACTTTTTGGCGGCGATTTAATCTTATTTTCTAGATTCATTATAATCACGAAATCCTAAATTTCTTAAAATCGTATAAATATTATTTCGTTTTTCTGATGTAAAAGTTTGAATGAGGAAAAGTAATGATAGAAAATATTATGTTAATTTACGTAAATACTTTTTTAAATCAAAACTAAGATGAACTTTTTACTCTTAAAAAATAGATATTAATAACTTGAACAATTTTGTTCAAGTAAAACTATTTAAGTGAAATAATTAATTAATCCAAATTTATATTAAAAAACTAAATAATTTACAGCAATTCAAATTTTCTATTAGTAATGTAAGGTTGATATTTGACGCGACTGCTTTCTGGAGGATATTCGAGGACGCAGCGTCTCACGTCATATCTGTTCGCTCAAGTGTCGGCATGTAAACGATAGCACGACACGTGTCTTACGTACACGGCAGTGCGTTTAATTTTCCGAGAATCCACAGACTTCTATATATACTAACTACTTACACACCCTGCTTATTTTACATGTGGTAGAAAGAGATAGAAGTACACCCGAGTCGACATTGCATGGTTCCTTATCCATATATGTTACTATATATCCGTGAGTATACCACGTGATCTGAATGTATCACACGTGAGAAGCATTACCTCATTAGTATCATAAGATAAATTATTAAATATAAAAATTTCGCCTCACGGTGAGTAATCTCTATTTTCTCAAATTTTCAAAGAATATAATATTATTCATTGACCACCACGAGCTGTAATTTTGACCTGAGCAGTGACCGTCCGTGCAGTGATTTATAAAAAGTGTGAATATAATTGAAACAAAAAAAAATAGCTACCCACTCTTAGCTTCAAAAATGATCACGGAGAGAGTAGTCTAGTTATAATATATAGAAGTGCAACGTGGGAATATCCCGAGACGGCAACCGTCTTGGTGTTTCTTTGACGCGCCGCGCGGTATACCATTTGCGTGGCGAGACTCGAGCGGGTGGCGGGCACGAGTCGCTCCGCCGTCGTATTACTTCTCAAAACGTGATTGCCGCAAGCACCAGCGGCAAAGGATCGTTTCCTACATGTTGGCGGAATACACGCGGAAATCTTATAAATTAATGCAAGGAGGAATCACTACGATTTCGTTATGTGATCCCTTGAAGAGGCGGCGTTTCGTGTCTTATTACCGCGCTCTCGTATATACCGGAATGGCAACGTTGCGTTTAAATTTGGCGAAAAATTCGCCATGCGAAATCTGTTTTACGTTACCGTCGGAAAAATTATTGCAGCCGCTCGTAAATATCAAACTGGAACAAATAGGCACACGATCGTTTATTGGAGCGAGTAATTCGGCGTAATTGCGCGTAATTCCCGCCTGTGTCCCGTATCGCGCATCGAGTTTCTCGCCGAATTAAAATATAATGCGTCCGTCGTTTTTGGATCGGCAGTGCGGTATGAATACGCGAGCAGCCTAATCGAGCGATTTAACGGAAAGTGATGTCCGTTGTCGATTAAATTAATTAGCTTGAGAGTACAAGTATACACACGCGCGGCACAGTATTCGGCACACGTTTATCTCTCGTAGCGCGCGTTAAATACCTTTTAGCGGCGACAAATTCATTCACAGTTTTGGCGCTTGTTTTTAGCGGCATGCGGCGCGCTGTTGTTTACATAAAGTCGCTTTGTTATCGTTTCACGCGGTGAGACCTGTGTTTGTGTGTGTGTGTGTGTGTGTGTATGTGTGTGTGTGTGTGTGTGTGTGTGTGTGCGTATATGACGCGACGCGCTCGTCCCGTGTATGCCGTTGCATTATCGCGCAGGACACGGGACGGCTGCACACAGCCGAAAATGCGGTCCATATTTGTCAACGGTTAACGTGTATATTTGCCTGCGAAATTAATATACTTCTCGAACTTCTTTCGCGAGGTGACAAGTATTTAATTGAAATGTAGCGATTAAATTAAAATTAAAGGGATGGAAACTGTAAGTTCTTCCTTCACGAGATATTTTTTGACGGGAGTATGTGCTAACTTTTTAACTGTAAAATACGACGCTCTCTTGCGGATTCGGGCGTATCTCGCTTCGTACTTAATATGTTATTGTTTCGAGTATCATTACCGTCTCAGAATGCGTTATAGCAGTACGTGAATTGTGCCAAATCGAATAATGCAAGCAACAACAAGGGGCGTGATATGTTCGTTAATAAAATTTCCATGTATTTCGCGAGATTCCACGTCGCATACGGTTAATGTCGGAAATGCCGCCCAAAGTACCGCGCGATCGTTATATTTTGGTGATTAATGCGAGATCGTAATTAATGGTATTTTCGCGAGTGACGTGAGCGCAACGAAGGAATCTGTGAGGAGGAGGCCTCTGGAAGGTATCGGGCGATGGCGAAACCGCGGAATAAATGTAATTTGTTATTTATATTATCTATTACTGAAATAATCGTTCATTTCTATTTATTTGGCGATAAGAATTCGAGAAAAAAAGTTATTTGGAAAATCTAATAGCTTATAAATAAAAGAAAAATCTATTTAAAAGACGGACGAAGAAATCGACGCGTGTAATAATTACCTTTTCGAATATTAATTACTCTGGACGCTACATTAATTTGGATTTTATACTCGTATCTTTCATCGTAATTGCAACGTAGTTGCAATTTCGCCGTTGCGCGTCGTATCGGTGAATGTTAAATCTTTTATTTCAACCAGAGGTAATGGATTTGTGAATACTACAGGCAGATATCACATCTCGCAGATCCATTGCCTTGAAATGGATGGGATAGGACAGATTAGCGCAATGTTTAACTCCGGACTATATGTGTAACGTCCGTCGATCCATTGTGCATACAAGAATGCACATGCACAAAGCTCATACACAGAATAGGGCTTATCGCTATCGACGTATCATTAACTGGTTTGGCACATTCGATTATTTACTGGCACATTTTGGTATTTCATTATGAAAAGAATAACAATTATCAGGTCATAAATCGCTTGAAATTTATTGGAGATTTAAACCTTCATGTATAGAAATGAAAAAAAATATGATAGAAAATATTTTACAGCTGGAGTATATTCGATAAAGAGTGATAGAATAATTTTAAAAGAGAAATATGATGAAGCTATTGTTCTTGAATTTTTCTTCCAGTATTATATACAAATTTAAACGGGATTTTTAGGAAAAATGCAACTGCGAATGTTAAGTTACGATATATTAATTTTAATATATCAAGTACAATTTTTTTATTAAATTGTCGAGTTCATTGTTAAATAGTAAAAAACAATGAGACATACGAAATAACAATAAAATACAATTGTGTCTAAAAGTAAAACGTTGACTGATTTTTGGAACATAAAAAAAATTCAATAAAAATTTTGTTTAATTTTCCATTTTTCATGGTATTTACAAATTATGGACGATGAAGATTGGAGTCAGAAATAGTTAATTAAGTTTATTAAATATAAAAAATAGAAAATTAAATAAAAATTAAATAAAAATTTATTTAATTTTCTATTTTTCATAATTTTAATACACGTCAATGACGTGGCTAATGAAGATTGGAGTCAGAAATATTTAAATAAATATATTTGATATATGTTTATATGCAATACAAATAAATGAATATATTCTTAAAACATGGAGGGAAAAATTAATGTTTAAGTTAAAAAATAAATTTTATCAAAAATGTAAGCAAAATACAACGCACATGTTATAAATGCATGTAATAGAAGAGTAAGTAATATTTTACGATCACATATTTTCGTAAATACACTAATTACTTTATGTTATGAAAAATGTGCTAATTTGTATTTGTAAATACTAAGGATTATTAATTGCATTAATATTACAATCTTTAATTAATCTTTTATAATTTATCCATTCATGTTTATTAATAATTTATTTCTAAATTTTAAAATACGAAAATAATTTGTTTTTAAATATTAAATATTAAAATAATTTGTTTTTGTATCTTGAAACAAAGCCGAAAAAGAATACGTTTTCCATCTTCTCTAGTTGAAAATGTTGAAATTCAATCAATTTCACTGAAAGGTAGAATTTTCTATACATAATGAGGAACATGATAAATCGATAATTGTTCGTTGTAACAAAATCGCATATAAATATATTATGATAATAAATATCTACATCTTGCGTAGATATTCTGTTTATGGTTTGCGCTTCGTATTGATTTAAAACTTTTCTTTGAATAGTATGCAAACGTGAGAAAGCACCTTACAATAACAGAGGAAATATGATGCCAGTAACATTCAATTGGAAATGTGTTTATTTCGATTTTGATCAAATTAGATTTATCTGATCTACACAGTAACTATACATTTCGTACGTTTGCTATCAGTTCATACTACAATTTCCGGGATAATTTCATATACATCAGATACAGTATATATCACATCATAGATGAACATACGGCAAATAAACGCACCTATTGAACATGGTATTCATATCAAAATCTACAGTAGTATGCACAGATATCAAAAGCTATATATCGATTCGATTGACTTATCATGTCGTTGTAGTGTGATTAATTTGTTTCCACGAAATATATTGCACTGTTAATCGCATTGTTAATCGCTTTATGCATGCATGTCGATATCTTCAAGAGATAGAACTTATTTAAATTGAGAATTTATTTAAATTGAGAAATTGAGCTTTGTAAAAAGATCGCCGCATATGCATGATAGATAGACGCATTGGTAATCCTAAAGGTTTTTTTTTTTGGTATTCGTTCTTCGTCAGAGCCCGTTGATTTTGGCTTAAATATCGGCATTTTCCTGAAATTTCTCGGAATCGGTATCGAA